GGGGGGGGGGGGGGGGATTGATAGGTGATAGTTTTTAATGCGTTTCAAGGACTTTTTTGACTATTATTACATGTCAGTTTGTCTGCAATTGAATCATCAAAATTAGTGTGACTGAAATCTAAAGTTACCAAAATATAATTGACAGATCTTTTTATGAAGAAAAAGAAACTGAACATGCAAGCAGATTCCATTTGCACAAAACTCTTTACCTGAATGTTTTCATGTCCTGTTTGCTAATTTATTTTCTCACATATTAAATACTATAAATATGCCTTGTCGTTATTTTTAATTTATTCATCCGACGATGATGACCTGAAGTCTTCGAAACGTCATGTAACTTTACTGACGTTAATTTTCTTGCTTAAATGTTTTTCGAAATCGTTTTTTATTAGATATTTTTCTACCTTATTTATTCCATACATCCACCATTTTCAATGCGACTTGTTTTTTCAGGACATATTTCTGTGCATGCTTCGTAACTTGTTCGAAGAGTACAGATTCTTTCCTCAGTATCCAGACAAAGAGCTTCATACAACTGCTTGCCTATTTGGTGGTATCATTGAACAGGGACTTGTTACGTAAGTGAAACATAACCACTTATACTGCAAGTCTAACTTAGTTGTAAACTTAAGGCTTTTTTGCTTGTATGAGGGATTGAAACTGTGTGTGTAATATGGAGAATTTTACCTTGTAAGGAAGTGGGATGGAAACTTAGTTCCATTTATTATCAAGTACAGTGCATGTAATTTCACTAGACCAAGCCAAGTACATTTGTAACAATGAAGGAAATGGTATTGATAGCAATAATGACAGAGATTTACAACTTGTGCTGGTTCTAACATTCAGGAACCTAAAGTACTTTTGCCAATGCCTGGTTCACCGGGTTGGTAAAAGTGCGTTTTCTTCCTTTATGTCAATAAACGTAACAGTAGCAGTAGTAGGAGAAGTAGTACATGTTGTAGACTGTAGTAGCAGTAGCAGCAGCAGTAGCAGCAGCAGTAGCAGTAGCAGTAGCAGCAGCAGGAGCAGCGGCAGCGGTAGCGGCAACAGTAGTAACAGCAGTAGCAGTAGCAGTAGCAGCAGCAGTAGCAGTAGCAGTAGCAGTAGCAGTAGCAGTAGCAGTAGCAGCAGCAGGAGCAGCGGCAGCGGTAGCGGTAGCGGCAACAGTAGTAACAGCAGTAGCAGTAGCAGTAGCAGCAACAGTAGCAGTCGAGTAGCAACAACAATGGCAGTAGAGAATTTCTCGATCACCAAACTCTTAAAAGTAGATCCTTGTTTATTTCTGTCAAGAAATAAAAAACTGTAAACATGCATTTTTAAAACATTTTTTTCATACTGGTTCCGCAAACGTTTATTAACATCTTTTTAGATACATGGCCCTTGGAATTGCCCTGCGGTACGTTTTAGAAGCTTTGAGAAAACCCTTTGGATCCAAGATGTACATGTTTGGAATAGCTGCACTGGATAGATTCAAGACAAGGTAGGTGTCCTTAGTTTGCATTGGTTGAATTAACAGAGTTTTTCTCCAAGTGTAACTACAATTTTGAGTATGCTAGCTTGTTATTGAGTCAGAGGGTATAGTATTTTCTCCTCTGATCTTTTCATTGCTGATGTGATGGTGGCTGTTTTCTTCACAGGCTCAAAGATTATCCACACTACTGTCAGCATCTTGCTTCAATCCCTCATTTCATGGAGTTTCCACCATCCTTGATAGAGTACATTGAATATGGTCAACAATCCAGGGAACCAATTCTAGGTGGCAGAAATATTCAGGTAAGTAACAGCAAGAAAGGAAATATTTCCTTGGGTCGTACAGTACAGCTGCGCCAACCACTTTGCTCTAACAAAGGGTAATCCTGAAGGAGTTTCATTAAGGACCAGGCACTGGGCAAATTAACCAGCTGTGGGGATGATTTTGCCTGCGTGGTTTGACCATCGAATGGAAAGTTTTTCATATAAAGAAGTTCAGTTCAAAACGTTTTGCCCGCCTGTGAAAATCAGTTGCCCTGCTGCTGAAAACGTTAATGAAACCCCGGGGGTAATGCTGGAAACTTTAATTTACCTTTTGAGAAATAGCTAAGTATAAAAGTAATAAGGTGCTCTTTGACTAAGGACTGGGATCTAAGTATGTGATACAAGGGGAGTTGTAATACTCTGAGTTGCTTCATACGACAGAAAATCGTGTTTAGCATATAAAAGTCCACCAGACCAAGTCAACAAACGCTCTTTCCATCAACAGCAGTAAGGGTATATTTATAATTAATTATCCAACAAATGAAAATGGATTAGAAACTACGGTATTTTCTCATTTTATGCAGGACCCTCTGACATCACGATTGCTGAACCGAGCTACGCCAACTCTGACAAGTGTATCAGGTACCTCAACCTTCACCAGCACGGCAGTGAGCAGACCTGTCCCACTTGGGCCTTCTATTCCATCCATTCCATTGGGTCCAAGCTCCGTGCCTGCCTTGGGTTCATCATTACCTCTGGTTCCTACTGTCACCTCCAACAGTACTGCAGTGTCGTCTGCCAAAACCACCACGACAACAGGTAGGAGTTCTTGGAAGCTTCTCACTTAAATTTTGAACTCCAGACATTGGGTGTCGATGAGACAAAGGAACTGTTTGTTTTCAGCTACATCTGTGGACCATAACATAAGTTCTTTGTAAATTTTTTCCTTTAACCTCATCGCCAACTGACGAGCGTTGGGAACTGTGAACTGGGATCCTAAGCAGTTCAGCTACAATCCTTCCAACGTTATGTCCAACCTAAAAGCCCAGGGTTTGTTATCAGAATTCCATGGTTAAAAATTACAATATTTAGAGAGGAAGCCACATCAGTCCTGGCTGGTTTTCACGTAGGTCCTCCATCCAGGTTGAACTGGAATTTAATTTTGAATGATGTGACAATGGTAATTCGTTTCATGTTTCTATGAAGTACGTTATTTCTGGGATGTACCAAAGCAATGTCTTTTTCATCATTCCTTCACAGATGTAGCAGCATCGCCTGTGAGAGGCAAGGAACCATCCATCGCTACTGCCAACAATATTGACACATTGTTAGGTGCGACGGAATCCAGTGAGATAGTTCAACCACCAGAAGCTGTTCAAGATAAAATACACTTCATCTTCAACAACATTTCTTCAACGAATCTACAGCAAAAGGTAAGATAAAAAGAAATTGTTTTAGAGTTAGTCTGTCACGTTTTATTGCAAGCGTGTTGAAGGCCTTGAGTAGCTTATCGAAAGCTTTTATGTGCTGAACAAAGGCGAGGTAGGTATTGCAAGCCAGAGCAACATAAATTCTTAACAAGAAAATACCAGAGTAAAGTACCTATAAACTGACACGTACACCAAATTCTGGGCTAAAAATATTGCCTGTACCAATGTTGAATTTTGTTCTTCGTTTTCACCAAAGGCTGAAGAATTAAAAAGTCACATCCAAAATGAGCACATCATGTGGGTGACACAGTATCTTGTCATGAAGAGGGCCAGTATTGAACCTAACTTTCACCAGCTGTACCTAGAGTTCATGGAATCACTAGAGCTGACAAACTTTGCAAGAGAAGTGATGAAGGAAACCTACAGAAATATCAAGGTTTGTAGATGTGAATATTTGAGTAAATAGTAAATATATCAGTACCGGTAGTGTGTCATAATTCTTATGTTTCTTCTGGTGACGTCTCAGGTGTTATTGCAATCTGACAAAGTTCCAGCGAACTTCTCTGATCGCTCATTGTTGAAGAACCTTGGTCACTGGCTGGGACTGCAGACATTGGCAAGGAACAAGCCGATCCTTATGAAGGTAAGAAACGATGTCTGTTTTGATGATTATCGAAGGTTATACATGCTCTCTTGAAAGCAAACTGCAGTTTTTGATGTTTATTCTAGGACTTTATAGGAAACTTTACGGGTAATTGCAGGTAATTCTGCTGGCAAGCATAGCATTGTAGCACAAGTTATGTTGAGTTTTGCGTATGGTCTTGAAAGGTCATTTATCTTTCCTGTAGGATCTTGATTTGAAGTCACTTATTATTGAAGCTTACTTCAAAGGGCAGCAGGTTTGTCATTAACCTTTTTAGTGCCATAACTGCTTTTAACACTGAACAAGGATCTTGGCAGCGTTTGATTAATTTTCCTAAATGTGAATATCTCTCTCTTATATTTACGAGACATTTTATGTCACTCCCTTTGTAGGAGATGCTGTATGTTGTTCCATTTGTTGCTAAAGTAATAGAATCATCAGCTAAGAGTAAAGTGTTCAAGCCACCCAACCCTTGGGTCATGGCTATCATGGCTGTGTTAGTTGAGCTGCATCAAGTGCCTGACCTGAAGGTAAGTTGACATCTTTAGCCTACTCACTTGTGTTTTGCTATTCTACCTCTCGTTATCCCTACAATAAAATGTCGAGTTATTTGTTTCCGTCTCAGTTTGGTTTGGTCAGGGTTTTATTTCCTATCAACATAACTATTAATCTCAATTTCTTTCGTTGACGTTGTTTCTTGCAGTTGAATCTCAAATTTGAAGTTGAAGTCCTGTGCAATACACTGTCACTTGAGATGAAGGTAAAAGCTAATCCAATCTAACTTCTCTTGTTTGCAATTTGTTAGTAGAGATGTTTCAACATTTTCGCTTTTTTTTTTTCAAGGAAATCAAAGCATCTGAACTGTTGAAGGATCCAGAAAAACTGAAGCACATTCCTCACCAGTTATCTTCCCCAGAGAAAGACAAGCAACGTAAGTTTCCATTCTGTTATTTGCCACACTGCCACTTGCAGAATATCAAAGGATCATTCATAATTGTTTTTTTTTGCTTTTGCCGTGGTTTGCAAGTGCTTACATTTCGTTTTGTCTGTTAGTTAGTTAGTACAATTTAGTCCAAACCTTGAGCGAGAAGCTAATTATAATTAAATATGGTATGAACTGACATGCTAAGAAGTTCTTTATGTTTGTTTCCCTATAGCAGCTGTCAGCAGCAGCTCCACCCCTACCCCCACAGCATCCTCCCAACAAGGACAGCCTCCCGTGGCACCTCCACCCCCTCAGTATTCGTATCAAGAAATCAATGTAGCTTCTCTAGCTGGATTGGCACCTCACATTCAAGTCAATTCACAGGTATGTCTACTGGGCTATAAAACAGTGAGAGAAGAAACAAGTACGTTAGCGATCCTGCACTTTTCATGCTGTGATTGCTGAGCGAAAGAAAAAATCAGATGTAACAGAAAAATGGCAACGTATTTTGCCCTACCCCAGTCTTTATGCAGCCGCTTATCTCTTGTAATTTTTCGTCACTTGGTAGATCTTGGTTATCATACAGCAATTCCTGTGAAGAACCTCACAACATTGTTTCACACTCCGCCGTTCAAATATATGAACTTTCATATATTCACTAGTATCTTCACCATCTACGGGTATATTACTAACTTACAATGTAACAGGCTCCCAGTTGGCTTAATAACTCAGTTGGTAGAGCACTGCACCGGTATCGCAGAGGTCATGGGTTCAAATCGCGTTCAAGCCCGAATTTTTTTCAGGCTTTAATTTCACAACTTCTTAAGCTGTACACGTATATAATTGCGATGATCAATCATGTCTTCATATGGTTTCGCACTATCACTCTATCACTATAGTGTTTACTATGACGACGATTTTTTCAAGTACACAAATAGGTAGGTGCGAACATTATTTTTATATCTTTTTCTGCAGATCCCACTGTTTCAACAACATCCTCATCTGAAGCAGTTTGTGCGTCCAGCTATTGAGAGAGCTGTACAAGAACTTGTTCATCCTGTAGTTGAGAGATCCATTAAGATTTGCCTTACCACAGCAGAGATGATTGTGAAAAAGGTGAGATTTTGACAACAAGAGTCTAAAACGCTTCTGTGTGACTAGCTAAGTATAGCGACCAGCGGACGAATCTTTTTTTTTTTTTACACCAAGGGGAATTTAAGTAATTTCAAGTCATGATGGTTCGTAATTACTGCAGAGAGTATGGGAAATTTTTTACATCAGATGGCTAAGCGTTTTACAGATCTTTATATACTCCAACGTCTCCAGCGGATACTTTTTGAATCTCGGGACGTACTTGTCAGGGCAGTATGAGAAATGGAGTTTTTACGCACAACGAGAAGTGTAAATGACAATGTGAACAGTGTACTACAGCTAACCGTTTTTAGAACAAATTGAAGCAAATCTATCATTAGATTACTCTTTTCTTTTAGTATAATCAAGTTCAAAGACGTATCGTTTTGGTTTTTCTTTTTGTAGGACTTTGCCCTGGATCCTGAAGAGTCCCGTATGAGAGCAGCTGCTCATCACATGGTACGCTTCATGACAGCTGGCATGGCGCTGATCACGTGCAGAGAACCGCTTCTAATCAGCATCAACAACAATCTAAGATCGAACTTCCTGGCCGCTCTCAGGGTGAGGAGAAAATAAATAACTATTTTTTTAAATTAAATTTCTGCTGACAGTAAGCCTTGAACTCTGACCTGCATGCAGCCGTCTAATATTTGCCTTGTTTCACATATGCACCTACCTCCCTTGCCTTTGAAATGATGCAACGCAAGGCAACTCCTGAACAGGATGAAGGTTTAAATAAACGATGAAACAGTACATTTTTACACCATACTAGACAACGTCACGGAGTTTTAGCCCGAACTGAAGCTATGTTTACATTACGAATTTAAAAAAAAAAAAACAAAAAACAAAAAACAATGAGAAGTGGCAAGGTTTCGTGGTCTAAAATGTGACCACAGGTCTTCATTGCGTTATTTACCTTCCCTGGACTCGATTAAGGTGTTGATTTTTACAACAGGGCTGGGTCGTTCAAAGTTCGATTATCCTAACCCAGAATTAGCGATTACATTGATTTCATTTTTGTAACTCCTCGATGAGGTTTTCTGTTTATGTTGTTTGTCCTTCACTTTCGAGTTTGGATAATCTCAAATTACACGAGACAAAGCGCGAAAAACATTTTTATAGCAGAAAAATTCATACTTCGGTTAACTTTTAATCCTATGTTGACCGGCTTTCGAAAAACCCGGCCAGGTGTTAAAAGAGGCTTTCTATGGCTTGCTAATCGGTGGTTCTCAACGTTTTTCTCCAGGGTGCAAACCCGCAGCAGAAGGATATGATTGAACAAGCTGCATCAGTTATCAGTGAGGATAACACAGAACTGGCTTGCGCGTTCATTCAGAAAACAGCTGTGGAAAAGGCGCTACCTGAGATGGACAAACGTCTGACTACAGTAAGATGGTCGTAGATTTATAGGAACAGTTGCGCTTCAAAGTCTGTAACATAGTAAATGGTTTGAACCCATGAGTATCAGTAGTTCATATATTGTGATCGTCTAGGTGAGGATAGTTCTGAAAAGAACTGTAGTTGGTGACATCAGATCTACCCTCACCTTGACGATCACACTGTACGAACTTAAATCTCTGTGTGACGGGTTATTGTGTGTGCCTTGTAAAGGGTATTATCAGTTTTGTCTTTCATTGCATTTTCCGCTTCAAAGATACATGAAAATATTTGCTTCTCCAAACCTTAAGTTTGATAAGGAAGACCCTAGAGCTATGGATAATTTAATTCCTAAAAGATGGTATTTATTGGTGGACTTTGCAACTAAATTGTAATCTCTGGGACGCTCCTTTCTCAAGGAAAATTATGAGAAGAAAACGAGGTTGGAAGAACGGAGTGGGCTAAAACAGTGGTTCGTCGTTTAGGAAGACCCTAGAGCTATGGATAATTTAATTCCTAAAAGATGGTATTTATTGGTGGACTTTGNCAGTAACTTAAGTTACTGTCACGGGTCACCCTCATTAAATAAAGTCTTTCACTTCACTTCACTTCACAGATGGAAGAACGACTTAAATTTTTATTTATACAGTAGTTTCACCGCAAAAATGTTTTAGTATCTAAGATGGCAGTGGTAGTCAAGAATAAGGATCTTTATTACTAAGTTCAGTACTAAAGTTTGTAACTAAATATCGCTGATGGCGTCTTTAGGAGTTTGATGTTCGTCGCCATGCCCGCAGTGAAGGACGGCGGTACTGTGATCCAGTGGTGTTAACATACCAAGCAGAGCGCATGCCTGAACAGATCCGGTTGAAGGTGAGTTCTCTTATCTCTCGCGCTTCAGATTGGGCGAAACTTTGTGATCACAAAGCCTAATCAACAAGCACATTTTAGCAGACCATAGTAAAGCTCAACGTGTCTTTGGAAAGTATAAATTATGAACGCGTAGTTGCATTTTTTTTTTTACTCGAGAACATTTTGGATCGAGCGTCTTTTAAACTGTTGATACTCATCCATGACAGGTTGGTGGTGTGAATGCCAGCCAGACAGCTGTGTATGAGGAATTTGCTCGCAGTATTCCTGGCTTCCAGCCACCAGCTACAGGGGAGGCTATCACCACCCCACCCCTGCCAAAACCAGTCCAGTATGAACATGGAATACTGGGCAATGCTGAGGTGAGTTCACTGCCTTCTGATATTATATTTACTTATGTTCTGTGTAAAGTAACGTTACTCCTGAGTTGCCTCAGGACGTGATACACCTTTTACTTTGTTATTCAAATAAGACAATTTAAAAAGTGCCAAGAAACCACGAAAAAATCGTTAGCCAGATGTAGGTATATCGAAGACAAGTATTTTATGAAATGAAACATCTTTTTCAAAGAAAAAAAAACTACAGAACAGATGGTCATAATTTATGTTAGGGATCGTACATTTGCATAGCCAGTAAGAGACCGGATTTTGGTTGGGTATCAGGGAACCTACTTTCTGATACTAGTGCTGTGTTTCAGAAATAACCTGTATGTGAATCTAGTCAATAAGTGTTGTGTATACACTGCTTATAAAGAGATATCCAAGCCTGTTCAGCATTAACGTCGTTAACTTGTTCCCTAAAAGACAAAGAGCCTTACTATCTATTGAAGGCCCACATTTGATTGTTATCTTTGAATACAGGCCTTCATGCCTGAGGAAGTGGTACAGATTCTCAGCAAGTGCGCAGCAGAAATTGAACAGCATCTTCACGCTATCATCGCACCTCCTACCAACCAACATGTCGTCACAATACACAGTCTGCTGGACGCTGTAGTGCAGGCGCGCATATCAAGAGACAACATGGCTGCCTTGAGACTATTACACAAGGTCAGTGGAAGAGTCGTTCGTTTAAAGCTGAGTCGGTTATTACGTTGTTGGTGTTCGTTCGTTTAGTTGTTCAGTAGTCTGACACTATTGCCATTATCATTCACCATAACTATGCTTTTGAATCGTTTGTTATTTTGTGTAAAACCTAGTAAAAACAACACGACTTTCTTGCCGTTTTCCAGTTGCTATTTATCTGTTACAGTCAGTTGTGGAGAACTTTCAAAGCGTAAAATGAGATTTCATTTCCTTGTATTTGAATTTGATCTATTTGATGTTTCTACCCTAGGCTGTTGAAGGTCTCCTTGAAGGGGTTGGCCCACTGGCTAGTGATGCTGAGCTCTCGTTGAGATATCGTGATTGTCACCTGATAGTACTGAGAGGACTACAGGACCCGAGGGGATACGGACCCATGTGGACCGCCAGACACGTGACCAAGTTAGTAACAAGACATGAGAATGTGAAATTAAAGCGCTGTTGTTCATTTCGCAAACCAAGACCTCCACCTAGAACATGATAAACCAAAGTACAAATAAAAAGGCAAAACATGTGATAAAACAATACAAGTGACCGGCAGAAGCACGCGGAAAAAAATGGATGTCTGATGAGGAGGAAAACACATTATCGATGTCAAGCGCGGCAAAACACGTAATTGATGCTAAGGGCGGGAAATACGTAACCGATACCAAGTGCGGAAAAACACGTGACTGATGACTAGAACAGGAAAACATATAACGGATGCTTAGCGGGGGAAAACGGGGGATCGGGGTCGGGGGTCATTTAACTCGCTGAATGCTGAAGTTTAATTTTCACTATATTTCCTGTGATATATCAATAAATATCTTCTGTTTTCTAGGTTCGTGTGTGATTGTCCACCCGAGCTGAAGTTTAACGTGGACGCCATTGACATTATGATTCGCAGTCATTTGCTCAACATGAGAGAATTTGATCTTCACCTCGTACAGGTATGAAACTTTGTGCCTTTTATCTCTAAACCTGGTCCCATTGGCGTTTACCACTGTAGAGACACAGAGATTCGTCAGTGTTCCCTGTTAAATACTTTTTGTCATTGTGTGCTTTTTTTGTGTCGTTTTCAGTGTATAGACAACGGGCACAATCTGCAGGCGCTTCACTTTGCCATCCAGCTTGCTAAATACGTGACTGACGAAAAACACAGTCCACATGTCACAGAGGTAAGCGGCTCGATGCATAAGTTCTCCTCACTGAGTACCTATGTTTCTCATTAAATGCTACTTCTGAGAATTTGCTATTACATGAGGACAACATCCACTGGTTGATGAATTTCTTTATTCTCCTCACTTTTCTACTTGGCAATGTATCGATATTGTCAAGGCAAAATTATATATCAAACTTCTGAAACGAAAATCATTGGCTGCTTATCGCGTAGACCATTGGTGTACTTAACTTCCTTTCCCGCTTCGAGGAACAAGGGAGTTCGTTTTTTTTCTGCTCATGTGGATTTCGATTTTGTTCAATTAAAGTGGATCAAGTGTGTTTTTATGTGCTTTTTTTACTCCTTTTATTTGTAGAATGATCTTTATCACACCATTGAAGCTCTGACGAGAATAGCTCACAGCAGGCAGAATTCTGAAGGGTACGTCCAGCATGCTCCAGGATTTGTACTGTCTGCTTGTTGCTGAATATTAGAATAAAATACGGTCTCGTCTGAATACACAGTTGTGGGGTAGTGCCATTGTTAGGTTAATTTCTAGAATTCTGTGGATGAGTTTAATCCATCATATTTAACACTATTTGCCTGCAAATGAAAACAAACTGAAGTGTGTGTACTCTGGTAGTTTGAAGTGAGACGTGTTCCTTAAATTGCTCACTGATTCGTCATACAACTCTCTGTTTCCTGACACTATCCTTGTTAAATAAGTATTCCAATAATGTTTTATTTTATCGCAATCTTTAGTTTGTCGTCGTTATTGGAAGCCACACACAATGGTCCTGTGTCGCAGTCTGTTGGTGCACACCATGAAATGGGTGACAACAAGGCGCCTGGAGGGCCCACATCTCTGACGTCAGGGGTGTCCTCAGGCGTCAGCAGCACGTTCCATGGTTACGAGGATCCACCTGGTTTGCACGAGAAGGTACCTTGGACAGTTATTGTTCCGATTGTCATGAATGAATGATAATGATTGATGCTTGGAGCTGAGGTTGAGAAAGATAATGTTAAAATAAAGGGAACTAATTGTTAGAGCATTTTAAATCTATTTTTCTTCGACTCGCAGAAACAAATCCCTCAGAGTTCTCGGGGAGTTGGTATCTGTTGGATAACCTGTGACTACTATTTCCTTGTTGGTGCTTTCGTTAATCGATCGTTGACTAATTATTTTATTGATTTATTTTGTAGGTTGAGTACTTGTTGAGAGAATGGGTTCGGCTGTGCCACCAGCCTGGAGCCGGAAAAGAAAGCGAAAAGGCCTTCTCAACCTTCGTTGCTCTGGTGAGAATCCCTCTATATTGTGTGCGTGTGTCGGACCTCTGCATTTGATGCAATGTTCTAATGTGTTCTTTTGTGTTCATTTCAGCTTCACCAGCAGGGAATTCTTCGAACGGATGATCTGATCACGAGGTTTTTCCGCATCAGCACGGAGTTGTGTGTGGAGGTTTCATACAGAGCTTTGGGAGATCACGTAAGTTAATAGATTAAATACGCGGGAACATGACTGTCGGCTTTCAGATTCAACTCGCTATATATGGTTTTCATTGTCAGTCCCAGCGTTTGTATCCTCCTGATTCCTGACACTTTGGCGTGTCCCGTTAATTTTGGTGCTACTTGGAAGTTCCACTCAATAACTTTTATATAAATGGGCACACACTTCGACTTCATGAATAGACTTCTAAGTAAGAGCTTCTTTGTACAAATTTGAGCATAAGAAACATTAAGCCCGGGTTGTCCAAAGGGTCTATAATGCTATTCACCGAGTAAATCACTATCCAGTGGATAGCGTAGTTTGTTTTGTCAACTCTTAGCCACTGGATAGTGTTATCCACCCTGTGAACAACCGCGCCCAGCCAACGGCGCAGGAACGTGTCGGTCAGTAGCTTTCATTGAATAGCTCAACACCAGGTTCTGTCCACAGACTTGAAAGCTAGACCCACTGTAGTGGATTTGGCCTTTTGAATCTGGTGGTGCCTTCGTAACCCATCCTTGTTGTCCTCTTTCCTTCAAGATATTTGCCTCTCGCAGAGTAGTCGGGGTGGGTGGAGAAACCTGGCCCTTTGGTATCAACTATGAGTAATATTATCGCGATTTCTACTGATTGGCACTTGTTTTCCTGTGTTTTGGTTCCTCAGCCCAACAGTCCAACCATGGCACGTGCTAAGTGTTATAACACCCTGGATGCGTATTGTCGGTTAATAGCTCTTCTGGTGCGTCACTCAGGAGATGCCTCTAATAACGTGACAAAGATTAATCTCCTCAGTAGGGTGAGTATAATTACTGTCTAGCCTGCTGGTACACACAGATACGCAGATGGTTCAGGGCGTTGAGCAAAACACTTCAGGGCGCTGTCACGAAATCGTTTTATTTTCGTAAGTGTGATGTCCATACCCATATTGTTATTCTAAGGTTTTTCAATATTATCCTTTTGTCTTTGTCGTTCGTTATAACATTGTTACGTAGTTTCACTTGACTCGACTTTCAGCTGATTTATCGTGTAAGCTGCATGGTTGTGATAGAGTCGCTTAAAGTTGCGCGACAAATGCTGTAACATAGCACACAAAACATGTTTACCGTGACAGAATTGGGTCGTGACAAAATCAGTTAAACCACTGTAGCGTGACCAATAACATCGCGTACGTTGTGTTGTGTTACAGGTCCTTGGTACAGTCGCCACCGTGTTGTTTCAAGATCACGAGATTCGTCACACGGAGTTTCAACAGCTGCCTTATCACCGAATATTTATTATGCTGCTGGTGGAGCTCAACCAACCAGAACCCATCCTAGAAGCCATTAACTTCCAGGTCCTACAGACATTTAGGTGAGACTAGAGCTCAAAATGTTAATTCTCCCTATTGATTACCATACATTTCTTGCAATGCTAATACTGAGAATTTGCAAGTGCATAAAGTTAACATCCACACCCCTACATGATGATGCAGGGCGTTTTCATGCAACTCGCTATTGTAATTGATATAGACGTCGTTAATTGATATTTTTGCAACCTGTCATCACTAGATAATTAAATTCAAGACATCATTAACTAAACTTGTTAGTGCATGATTTGTTTGCAGCACTGTGTTCCATGCCCTTCGGCCTTCCCGTGCATCAGGGTTCGCGTACGCCTGGCTCGAGCTGATCTCGCATCGTCTCCTGATGTCCAAGCTTCTACTGAACACACCTCAACAGAAGGTAAGCCTGTGCTCACCCCGCCGCTTTATAGGTTAGGTTAAACAGGGACGGATCGATCGTATATTCATAGCAAGTAGGGCCACAATGGGTATCGGGCAGGGCGACGAAAAAAGGTAAGCACGTCATATCCTCTCGTTGTAACTTTGTGGCACTTACTCAATTTCATTTAATGTTTTTTCCAGATCGAAGGTAACCCGCCAACTAATCCGCAGTTTTTGTTTTTGCAGGGCTGGGTTTTGTTTCAACAGCTGTTGATCGACCTGTTCAAGTTTTTGGCTCCATTCCTGAGGAACGCAGAGCTGGCTAAACAGACACATTTGCTTTACAAGGTTAGTAGCAGTCTTGCACGTCTTCGTGGAAAANCCATGATTTTCTTTCAGCTCCTCGGCTGCTTGAATACGCATTGATAGGAGATGGACAAATTAGCGTTGAAATCATGAACAACTGACTTAGTTTTCTCCTCAATTCAATCTTTGTTCTCATGTTAATATTTAATGTTCTCTCTGTTTTATCAGGTATCTAATGAACCTGGAACACGGTACAACGTGCCTCTGATGAACGCGTTAGTTCTGTACGTCGGCACACAGGCCATCACCTACATACACAGCAAGAGCGGCACCCCCTCCATGTCGACCATCACTCATTCGTCTCACATGGACATCTTCCAGAACTTGGCTGTGGACCTGGATACTGAAGGTACAAAGTCACCAACAAATCTGGCAAAATAGCGCCGACTAAACCGTTGTCTTTTGTAATATCTTCGACGTTTAGTACCGCTTCATTTCCACGCTTTCAGCAAAGGGGACTCCTTGGTGTAGAAGACACAGGACAAGTCACAATAAAACACTGTCCAACAAACCTATTGTTGTTATTGTTTTCCTCATTCTTTTGTCCTTTTGTTCTCTATTGTTTTACGTCAACTGTGTCTTCTACACCAAGTGACAGCCGCAAAGGGTTAAATAAAAAGGATGGTAAGAGAGAAGCGAGAAGCCTTGATGGTTCTTTCAGCGACCTTATTGTCTGTCATTTCCAGGGCGATACCTGTTCCTGAATGCAATTGCAAACCAGTTACGCTATCCAAATAGCCACACGCATTACTTCAGCTGTGTTCTGCTGTACCTGTTTGCGGAAGCCAACACAGAAGCCATTCAGGAACAGATCACAAGGTAAGGCGTCCATAAGGTTTAAATCCAAAAATTAATGTCCTTCACCTTCACTTAGATCGGGCTTCTGACCCAACAAACTGCACATTTTGGTTTGGCTTCGCGAATCGCGCGTTGGTCTCGGCCCGCTGTCTTTGCCTGTTTAGCATGTACTGCTCGGCTACGTGTCGAATGGCCTACTCTTAATGTCCTACTCTCTACAAGGCTATTTAGGCAGCATCCACACTACGCCGGAGAAAACGCAGCTTTATTTCTACGGTTTGGCCTATCGTCCACACTAATCCGTCACCAAAACGCAGCTTTATTTCTACGGTTTGGCTTATCGTCCACACTAATCCGTCACCAAAACGGAGCTTTGCGAAAACGCTCTTCAAACTGAAGGAATTTGAAAACGCGGGCTTTTCGTAGTCGGGTGGACGGAAAACACTTTGAAAATTAAACGAAGCTTTTCCCTGACCGAGTTTTCGTCAAACACAAATCCAAAATGGCCGGCGATTGTTGCGTTTTAAACTTCCTCCGGCACAGTGTGGACGGAAACATTTGATGCACTTCCGTTTTCAAATTCCTCTGGCGTATTGTGGACGAGGCCTTAATGCCACTAAAATTCCAAGTTCAGAATGTTAATTCTCCCAAGAAGATTGACTTGAATTTGTTATGGTAGTTATGAGAATTGGGAATTGGTAAAGTTATCTCTTCATTCATCTTGCCATTTCTGACTGTCGTTATATGTTTTCTTGTAGGGTTTTGTTAGAGCGACTGATTGTGAACAGGCCTCATCCGTGGGGTCTTCTCATCACCTTTATCGAGCTTATCAAGAATCATCAATACAAGTTTTGGACGCACGAGTTCGTCCACTGCGCTCCTGAGATTGAAAAGTAAGTACAAAATGCCTTGCTGAAATGTTTGGGTGAACACCACGGTCTACTTCATTTGATTACATTGAACGCTCTCTTTGTGAAGCAGAACAAAACTTGAAGTCTCGCGGGTTAGAATTTTAATGATTCTTCTTTAAGCCATTCCTGCCTTTTCGACTCTAGACCTGTAACGAAAGTTAAAGAAGAAGGCATGTAAACGCCAGACTCCTTCCCGCCGGATCGCTTCTTTGCTCCTCGCTGTTAGCGTGCGTGACTGAAAGGTGAACCTGCTCGCAGGCTAGAATTGACGGAGCACACAATTTGACGTTACCTCATGGTCACAACTTTTCAAGTGCGAAACACCCTCGCTTTGAAGGCCCTTTCTCTCTACCTCAAAGGAAACTCTGGAAACCCAATTGAATGCGAGCCATCGTGCAAGTTTCTGATTGGGCAAAATAATCCTAAACCGATGATTGGGCAAAAGGAGAATGTGATATTTGTTCCTTTAGCAAAGTAATTCAAGTAGAAATTACTGAGCTAATTCCCACCATGTCATGCTTTATCTTTGCCTTGTCTTTGTAGGTTGTTCGAGTCTGTTGCACGGAGCTGTATGCAACAGAAACAGGCGCCTCCCAGAGAAACCACTGAAAGCAGAGAGTAAAGACACTTGTATCTTATTGTAAAATTTGTACATGAAACGACGCTGAACGCCAGTAAACAGACGCAGTCAAGTACTTCAATTTAGCTGTTAGACTGTTATGAAAAATTTTTGCTGAATTTATAATTTTTTATCGTGGAATAAACGAACGCCTTGGAGTGCATTCTGAGTTTTTTGCGTTAGATTCATTAGTTACTGTATTGAAGTTGTCTGCGCGCTGGCTATTTTCAGTGTAATTTAAAATTGGAAGTGGCAATCATGTCGCTAAGCAGCATGAACAAAGTCTCTTGAAACCACCTTGTATTCAAACAGAACTCACGGCATCACCTGCAACCGGACCAACGTCTGCCTTGTCATTAGGTGTAATTTACTCGTGGTCAACGTAATGAGAACATTGGACTGTTCACAGCCCTTTGCTTTCTCGTATTTTTATTCAATCGTTGAACGCGCGGATAAAATCGCGAGAGAAATGGATGCCAGTGCAGAACGGGAGACTTTACAGGGTAATTATTGAAGCGCCACCACGCTAGCCTGTGCCAGACTCTCGGTCAGTGGGAACGATCGAAAAAGCGGGCGGGCGACAAGAGGGGTGGTTGATCCCGCTCGTCGCTGATCCCGCTTGTCGCCCGCCCTTTATTTCGATCGTCCCCACTGACCGAGAGCCTGGAACAGGCTACCACCATCCCCGCGTGCTTCGGGCTCGCTTTTTCTTTCGCGTGCGTTGAAAAATAGAGGCTGTGAACAGTCTATGAGAACATAAGAGAGCGGGAAAATAGCCTAATGACAAGTCAACCAGAGTTTGGAGTTTTCCTAGCCTTTAAACGTTTTACATCTTTCGATCGACAGTGCGTATAAACTTTTATCCAGTAAGGCAAACACAAACGTCCAAAACTTTTCTTTAATATTTTTTTACAATCTACGGGGAACTGACACGCCCACTTTTCGTTTTTCACCCAGCAAGTTCCAACCTCACCCCAAACGGACGAGTCCATGCTTTCCTTCAAGATCTGACAACTTTTTTTAAAAAACTCTTTCTATCAGCTCCATCATAATGTCACGCAAGGGCGTACACTTGCTGGCGTCAGGCTCTCTAAAACCGCTCTAAACATACATGGTGTGTTTTAACATCAAGCGTACACTAACATTTTTACGTGTAAGCCGTCATGCACAACACAAACCCTAACAGTGAACTTCAATTCTCTTATCTTCAATGACCAATGCCAGTGGGCGTGTTTTCCCGCAATTTACGTGGTGAACCTCTAACCTGATACAATACACCTTTCCATAACGTTTCACTGAATGTCAAAGAGGGAGTAATGACTCACTTCCAGATAATTTGTATTCCCTTTTCTCATTTTTAAACACAATTTTGCCAATAACTTCTTAATGTATTAGGTACATCTCTTGCTAAAGCTGAAAAAAAAACTTAAACGTAAATACGTGTTGGGTGAATGAATATGGCGTTCTGAAGGTAATCAAGAAAGTTCTGAAAGTAATCAGAGAACTTGGCGGATGACTTCTAGCAAGCCTGTCCCAGATGTTCGGTTAGTACAGGCAGCAAGAAGAATTGCGAGAGAAAATAAGGGAGGGGATCGGCGCGAAAACCTTTCCAACATTGCACATTCTTGTCCCCAGAACGGTCTGTTCAAAGCCCCTTCGGCTAAGAGGGACAGGCGGCTCTGGGGAGGAAAAAGCGCGCTGCAATCCTTCCCTGTTTTTTCTCTTGCGGTTTTTCATGCTGCATGCTCCTCAATGAGCCAGATACCTGGTACAGGTCAACTTCTTGCTCAAAATGTGGACGTTTCTTGGCAACACATCCCTGAATGCACGTGCTGTGTCTGAATAAAGTCTCTCGAAAGTGCCACAGAGCACTCCGAATCCAGTTTTGGTGGGCAAAATATCTGGTATCCAGATCCCTGATTCGCGACTTACAGCCTCGCTCGCCGGACTCACCTCAATTTTTTGTTCGTCTTGACCCTACTGAATATGTTCTAAACACAATTACTAAATGCTTGCCTAAAAACGTTTGCGCTCCGCAAAAATTATCCTGAATGCCTTATAACAGACATGGAAATATTTTGAATCTGATAAGTAGTCATTTCTCCCTGGTGTTTTTTTTTCCTTTTTTTTTTTCACAACATTCTCAGGTTAACGTACGTTCCTATATCTCGGAAGCTACTTCTTGGACAATAGAGTTTCAATATCACGCGTAATGTCCGCTGTGAGGAAGTTTCTACTGTATCGCTTAAAAGGTACACCATTTGAATCGATAAGAAACTTCTCAAAATTCCACGACACGTCAGATCTGAGTACTGGATTCCATATTATCAGTTTGGTGTCGCCCATCAGATGTTCCTCGTCATCGACTGGGTGTGGCAGTTTCTTCTTCAGGAAGACAAACAGAGGATGTGCGTCTTTGCCATTGACTGCGACTTTACTGAACAGATCGATCTTGGGCACGAACCCGTTCCCAGGCCGTACATACTTCAGGGAATTGAGAATCTCACTGTTATTGCAGTTCTCCTGGTGACCGAACTGATTGCAGGGAAAACCCAGAATAGCGAGCCCCTTCTTACTGTACTTATCCATAAGCTCGTTCATCTGAAGAATAAACAGATATATTTAAAAACTAATGAAAGAGAAAAGGCTCATTCAGCAGATCACTTGCTAAATTATGATGGCAATGTTGGTGTTGGAGAATTCAATGCTCTAGTCCGTCCACAGATCCCCTATGTTGTCTTGAACTCGTCAAGTTAACAAATTAACCTCTGTTTTTCATGCGTCTGTCCTGCTAGCTATTGATCATGAATTTCGTCATAACATTGCCAAAGTAGCTGTGGATCTATGAGATGATAGCTGAGTGGATCCGCGGACTACTTCAGTTGACAATGTTATGATGAAATTCATTGCCAATAACAGGACAGACGCATGAACAACTGATGTCAATTTGTTTTTTATGATAACAAATTGTCAAATTCTATGCTCTCACTTGTTGACACATCATATAAATTATAAATACATGTGCCTGTCTGCTTATTGACAATGAAAATTAGCCAACGACTGTGCAAGAATTTCTGCAGTTATCGTAAAAATTGAGATCGGAAGCAAAAGTATTTAAATAAACATCTGTGGACAGACTATCAATGCTCAGCTACCAGGGAACTTTCAAAGTGTCCCTAACGGACAAGGAATGTAAAGGCCGTTACTATATTCACTTGTTCGCGGCACTTAATGTCAACTGGACTTTCATGGGGCAGGGGGTAATGAACATTAGTGCCTGTGTGGGACATTTTTGCCGATAAGCAAAATGATCAATTAAGTAAAGTTTGCTTCACATTTGGAAGGGAACACAACTAGTCTAGTATTGGTAATTAGGTCTTCAAAAGAAATTGGCTCCTTCTCCTGCTGAATACAGTCACCTGTAGTGACCAGAGTACAGTGACTCTTTGGGTAGCAAAATTCCAAGACAGGGAACAAAGGAATATGCTGAAGGCACCTAACACATTTCAATAACACGTCAATAAAGATCAAGGAATTGTCTACACCCCAGAAAGAATGTTCCTTATCCATATGTGGGTTCTTCAGACTGACATTCCTTTCCCAATGTTTGCCAGATTTTCTACATGGACCAATCAGTGCATATGTATTGTATACGCTGCACCAATCATAGCATAACTTGTTACCTTGATTTTTTTTTTTTCTATGAAAAACCTGACCAGCCACTGACTGGTAGACATTTCTGGAGTGAACCAAGATATCATGTAGCTCTAGACAACACTGTTCTTTGAAAAGTGTTGGCTTGAAAAGAAAGGCCTTCACTAGCATTGTGTTCGGTTTGAAAGTAAACGTTAAGTTTTACCAATGAAAACTTATCACTTCTGAGTTTAATAATATACAAAAACAAAATTTGGGACAAAGTGGAACAGAGGGTGGAATTTTGTCTTTTCCTTTTCTCATATTTGTCTGTTGAGCAACCGTANAGGGGACACTAACTATGCTGTCAAGTACTGAAAAACTAGAGTATTAGTACCAACAAATCACTGGTTTAAAGTACAAAACGCAGGGTCACTTTGGACCGCCTCGTTTACATGTGTCAAAACCTTTTGTAGAACGAAGCAAAACAGAGTAGGCACTTTTGTGATTCAATGAGATGTCTGATAGCCCTGTACTCTGTAGTTTACCTCATAAGGAGGTTTATGTTGTAGTATGACATACCTGGGTGTAATCCCTGACAGTTGTACCTCAGAGAGAGGCCACATTTTCAATCAGCACCACTTTCCCTTTGTACTTTGACAAGGTGACCTCATCCCCTTTCAGGTTCTTAGCGGTGAAATCATAAATCGACTGACTCATTGTTCTCACTTGTTTCTGAAGACACTGTCGAGAAGCAGACAACACAAAACTTGCCTGTGAGCACTTTAACATAGACTGCAGAGTAAAGCGACAGAGAAAATGACAGTAATGTAGCATTTATCACCGTAAGGTTTCGAAAATTATGACCCCCGAAAGAAGCGATGATCTGAAAGTGGCGGTGAAATTTCATGGTCGTAAGAAAATCCTGAAAATAGCGCCCTTACAAACTAATTTGACACGAACAAAATCCTTAACTAGAGCAAAACGATCTCGTTGTAAGTACGTCATGTATGGAGACATATTGTAGCAAGCTCGTGTTCAATGCCACGTGATTGTTGCCGGGAGCGAGTGAAAAATGACCAGATTGGTTGACTGCACTTTTTTTGCGGTTTAATCTAAATGAAGTGTGTTAATGATCGTTAATCTTTTAGGGTGCGTTCCTTCGGGGTGATCTGGATCAGGACCAGTGATCCAAGATCACTCGGATCATGGTGCATCAAAGGAACCGATGAATCCACTCTAGTCACGGATTCATCGGTTCCTTAGATGAACCATGATCCGAGTGATCTTGGATCACTGATCCTGATCCAGATCACCCCAAAGGAACGCACCCTTAGTGAATTGTTGAAGTCAGCACGTTAACTTGCGTTTTATTTATGTTTTATCAGTTGCGCTGTCAAATATCTCCAGGGTAATGGCTGTAAAGACTTGTTACCCTGCAAGCAGAGCCCTTCGATCTTCCTAGAAAAGTCGGGAAGAGATCTCTTCCTCTTCCCGACTTTTCTAGGAAGATCGAAGGGACCTCTGCTTGCAGCTGCCGGGTAGAAACTTGTAAGACCTTGAAACAAACATCATGTGAGTGAGTTTTTTTCTGCAGGTGGTCTGTTTCAATTTCAAACTTCCAAAGATTATCAACTGTCATGCCAACATCACGTGCAGAGAGCAAGGTCTTTTGTTGTCTCCGCGTGTCACGTCAGCTGCTGTGATTGAATTATCAGATAATATTTTACTTATCAAGATATTCGATTCTGATTGGTTCTCAACATGTGCTATTTTTCACAGTGTCCAATAAGCTCCCTGTCTGTTTTTATGACAGACAATGACCGTGCGTCATGTTTTGTACGTCCTTTGACACAATATTTGTTCTCAAATACTGGCTAAGTAAAGAAAAAAGACATGAGCGAAAAGTTTTGCTCGTCCAATAACAAAATTTGTTCTCAAATAATGGCTAAAATCAATAACTGTTAGTTGCATTTCCTGTCAAAATGACACAATTAATTCAAAGAATTTGACAGCAAAAGTGTTATTAGAAAATACCCTGCAAAGGTACAACAAAAGCAGCCTAAATAACGGAACAAAGACAAAATTATTCACTGCACATTAAAAACTCACATACGTTCTGCAGGGACTGAAAACAGATCAGTGACGTCTTTCGTTACCATACATTTCGAAAAAATTTGTCTTTTCATCAATGAAGCAGGGCCGATCTCTGGACTCTAACATGAACCAACCACTCTACAGCTGCCTTCGCGCCTCGGTTGTTAAGCAGCGTGTAAACTCCCGTTTGACTCAATAATCATCCACTGCGTTCGGTTTTGGAATTATAGTAAGCTTTATAATCAATTAGCTTTTCGATGATCGAGCTTGATCGATTTTAACACAGCACTTAATTTACGCAATCACTTGTAACATCGCGCAGATCAGTTCTCAAGCGTCATCTCAAATTTCACGAACCGGCCATCTGTTTACTAGCAGTAGGGCAAAAAAAGGTTCGGTACTGGTCGTTTCTAGCTCCTCTTAGGTTTCTTTCTATCTTGAACAATTAAAGATACGAACCGAGCTACTGGCAATTCAGTTTTCCATACAAAAGACAAACCTACCTTTCTGAGCCAAGACAATTATTGATTATTCTCGCTTTTCAAACGGAAATGTTATTTATTCGGGGAAATAATTACGTAAGTAAGCACCCCTGTCTGCACCTTTGTTTCGAACGTTAACCGAACAATAGACGAGCAACAGCCGATTATTTGTCGTGAATATTCGTTACGAATCGGATCACGTGGCAAAATAAATCTTCGCTGGTACGAAAAATGGCGGTATTTTGTTGTTTTGTCTGATTTGGTTTTCTGCTTTTCTATTAATTATATTGAGACAAAAGTGACATATGCATTAGGATGCATTAAGACACCTGGTTATTGTAGACATCTCCCGTTGGTTAATAATAATGAAAACCAAGCCTTCAATCTGGCTAAACATTCAACGATGACCGACAACGAAGACCCTTCGGCACAGTTTTCTTTTCGACTTTCCACTTTGCAAAATGCTTCTTGTGCGGAAGAGGAAATTCTTGCTTTGCAAAAGTTGAGAGAAGCTCTCCTTCCTGCTGGCGATGAAGCGTCTTCAGATGAGGACGACTGTGAGAAAGAATGGCTGCGGAAAGGTTTGAACGATATTAGGAATCCTTTCCCGAGTGAATCGCCGGAAAGTTTTATCCTTTTGCAAGAAGACCTGGATTCATTCACCTTTTACCTCTTCGAGCGGCGATTTGGCTGGTCGGAGTATACTGCGAATTTGGATGATTACTATTCTGTAGCAGATGAACATTTAGGTCGGAGAGGATCATCAGGTTCTTTACGAATGCAGGATGAATCCAAATTTAAAGGAAAGTTGAATGAGTTGCTGGACGAATTTCTAAAGTGGTAGGTAGTATTTGTATATTTGGTTCTCATAGCAGTAGCGTTCGAGGTGACAAAAGATTGTTCAGTATCTTCAACATCATCAACCTAGAGTAATCCTTTTGTTTATTTTGTCCTGTGATGATCGGTTTGGTTATCAAGGTCTTCTATATAAGTTCATTGACATCTGAGATTTTTAGCTTGAGCGAGCGGGGTGTTCTGGTAAGTCTGTGATAAACAGACCGCGACATAGATCTGATAGATAAGCCCCATGTTCATTTAGCGACTTCGATTTACATGTAACTTGATTTACTACACATTTTGAATCGACCCTGCATGGTTTAAACATTTTACATACACAGTACATCTAAATAGTTCGACACTCATTCATTTTGCTACTATACATGAAGAGTGCGTGTTTCTTAGATGTACACAAACACAATCTGTACCAGTTTATTCGTCATCTGCATTTCACGGCTGTATTATTAAAACGGTTTAACCAAATGCAGTTTACAGACATCCAAGCCTGCAAATAATTTTGTCTATTTAAGCAGGTCATTTGTCAGGTCAAGGACAAGTTTTTGACCTGACAAAAAGCCAGTCTGGTCTGACAAAAGTTTTTTTTTTGTCGTTAGAAATTAAAATTACAGGTAAGAGACATTTGAGACATTTTGGTATTTCAGGGTAGACCCTTCGCCAAAATGGTGGTTGCAAATTCGAATGGCTCAAAATTAAACTCAACTGAGTGTAAAATCGATACTAGCACCAGAAAGGGGACCTTTACATTAAGTCAGGTATTATTTACCAGTTGAAAATTGACAAATTTTCAAACGTTTGTACCCTTAGTTTGCCTTCACTCACTTGATCACACGTGCATTCCGTATTTTCCCACATGTTTCTCACAATGTCTAAGGAAAACCACGGGACATGGTGTCTTTAATGACACCACCACAAAATGTGTAAATTAGCACTTAGCCTGAATAGTGGCTGAACAGTGGCGCTGATGTGACGTGTTTCTTGACCCATGTTTGGGTATAGGGGTGCCGCCGAGGGTTTGAAATCCTGACCCTGTTTAGGACAAAAATACTCTAAAAACCCTACCCTGTGCGGGACAACATCCTCTATTAAGACCCTGTTTAGGACAGGAGATGAAAAACACACTCTCATTTCACAGGCATTTAAACTGTTTAATAAGCCATTCCAATCAGAGAAATCGTGTTTGATATGTCTAAAACCCAGTTAGTGTGTCTGTACACTTGAACTAAACAAAAGACCCTCAAGCGTTAAGCTCTAAATTATTTGAAATAAAGGATACCGACAACAATAGCATTCTTGTCCAGAAATGATTTGATGTTGATTGATAACCTTGTAATGGTCGGTTAATGTCTCTCGGCTCGTAAGACCATACCCTGTTTAGGACAGAGGCGAGTAAAATTGTATACCCTGTTCAGGACAGGGAGGCCAAAACACCATACCCTGTCCAGTGGCACATCCCCATATATGTAGCCCAAATAAGGGAGTACCCACCCCTCCCTCCCTGCCCACCCCCGAGCCCTGTCTGAAGTTTTCTCACTTTGGAGTTTAAATGGGCACCGGCAAATTGTTGAGACAACTTTACAGAATGATGGGGAGAAACCCACAATGGACTAGCATCTGATCCAGGCTCTTGCTACAGAAACATCATATTAAAAAGCTTTACGTCTATCTAGCCACTGTCTGCAAATATTGTTTTTTTCACATGCCTGCGCAAATGAATTTTGCTCTTTGAGTAACAGACAGCAGTGTACCTCAGGTTGTTGCATGGTATGAAAATGTTTCACACAAGTAACAATCAATCCCAGACACTGCACAAATCTTGGTAGGGCTAGTTCATCAGGGCAAAGCTAACAGAAATGTTTGTTTTAGTTAGACTGCATATACAATGTAATTAACACCAGACATTGCAAGATGTTTGCTGTTTGCGTAAAATGAAATCTAAAATGAAATTGTTTTTCACCAGGTTCCTTGCTCAAGCTAAACTAACTGAACATCTGCTGAAAAGCTTTAAATATACAGTTGCTAAAGGTAAGTAAGGTCTGAAAAATTGGTTAGCTGATGCCAGCCATCCATTGTGAAAGTAAATTTAGAGTGTGGAAAGAGGCTAGTGCATTGTATGTTGAGTTTTAAATTAGAATAAATTACATGTACTTCCAGGATGTCACTAAGAGGCAGTTGATATGCAAGGTGACCAAAGGATTTGCGATCGTGGCATCCGATACCCATTGATTGACCCTTAGTCGATATCTCGATCAATTCTTGGTCAATACTTGATTGACATCTCAGTCGACAGTCAGTCCAGAGTTGACTAATTTTCACAGATACACGATCAAGTGTTGGTTGATACATATGAGTCGGGTTGTGTCGATCAAGATGTCAATCGAGATGTCAATCGAGATGTCGATCGAGATGTCAATTGAGGGTCGATCTAGGTATTGATCAATACTCAACCACAGATGCCTTTAGTACACATGATCCATGGTTCAGACTTAGGCACTCAGGCCAAGACCTTTGTATCGAGTTCTAAGAGCATGAAACCCTACTCTCACAGTGTTTGTCTCTAGCTTGGAGTATAAATAGCTACAAGTGAACTGTTAGCTGAAGGGCAATCTGAACAGGGTTGTCAAAAGTTAACAGTAGCTGGCGAAAATTATGGTATACAGGTACTTCATGATGTTGGAAAGTAAGCTGTGTACTTCCAACAATAAAGCCACCTGTGAACACTGTACTTGAGTTAAAAAAAAAACTTTGGGACAACCCTGCTGAGAAATGCTTCCAAGGGGTAGCATGCAACAGACGTGTACATTGTACATGTACATCTATTAAAACCAGGGGTGTACAGCAATGCTCTTGATTCCCTCAAGCTACAGAAAGCGAGATAAGCTCTTATTACAGTCACTGCATCAGTGAAGTGGGGAGAATCACAGTAGTATCGTGCATACAGGCATATCAAAGGTATCCAATTCGTTTTTCAGCAAACAACATGCCAGTGGTGAGGAATCAAACATTTGTTCACATTATGGACTGGTTGAAGCTGGCTAGCTCTGAAAATGGAGTTAATAGTAAAGTGTTTCCTCTAGTGATGGACATTATTATTGCTGGCATTACTGATATTTGGTCAGCTATCAGAAACACATGTGTAGCCAAGTTGTCAAAGTTTTTGGAACTGTTCACACTGCCTCAACTGGAAGATTTTTATGGAAGCTTGGTTAAGGTATTATGTAATTTCCATTATAACTACCTTTAATAAACTGTGCAAAGTTGTTATTTAGTTTCTAGAGAAACTGTTTGGCTTTGTCAGTGTAACAGTTACACTGCTTTTTCTAATGCTTTCTAGCTTGTTTGGTGGGTTACTCCATAGGCCCCAAGGGTGAGAGAATCTAATTAAACTGTCTTTGTGAACCTTGCCTTGCTGCCTATATATTGTATGTTTCCATCTTGCGTACAACTTAAAGTGTTGTGGTCATCATTCTTATATGGTACATGCAGGACTCGAATAAAACTTGAAGTCCGGCTTGCCCTTTGGACAGGCAGCTCTCAAATGTTGCTTTCCCAGACAACTTGCCTGAGCCCTTGCCCATGGGGCAAGTGAGAATGAAAAGTTACTTGCCTGTCTCTCCTTGTCCAGGATGACCAGACAGCACTTTTTTGGAGCCCTGTCATGTAGTTGATTTTTGTTGTTTTGGTTGCAGATGTGCATTGGAAAGGAAACTTCCTGGCAGGCCAAAGAGGGTGCAGTCATGTGTAAGTCTTTAAAATTACACATTTTCATCATTTTGACATAATACGGACTGTACTGAGGGGCAGACCATCCATTATTTATTTTTACTTTTTTTACCTTAATAATAAGTATGCACTGTTTTTTAAAAAGTAAAAATTGCTTTTTATAAAAAATTAACGACATTTTTCCATGGGCAGTGTACACTCCTTTTAACCATACTGTACATTGTTCAATCATGGAACTGCAGGATAGACTTTTTGTTGTAGAGTCATACATCAGCGTAATAAAAAAGAGAGTATCAGTGATGTTTTACTGCTTTTGTTTTGTTGTCTGTACATTGAACAGGCATGACTGCTATAGTGTGCCAGTTTCTTTGGAGTGGAATAGCACCATCTGGTGAGGACAAGTCACAGTCTACAGGACCTCAGTACATGCTCAAGGTCAGTTTTGATGCTCTGTAGCTTTGGGTCATATACAGTAAATGTACATACATGTGCATATGCTTCTGTGGTATTTTACAATTACAGAAACAAGAAACATTTCTCCCCAGGCATAAAAGTAATTTCCTTGGGAAGTGTAACATTTTTCGCAAGATGTTGGTAAGTTTACTTTTGAGGGGAAAAGTACATGGATATAAATGTACATGTTATTGTAACTAAAACTTTTCTCTGTTGTGTGGCTTTCTTTAAGCAAACTCTTCCCTTAACCCTTACAGTCCCAAGTTCAAAATGTTGTTTTTTTCGTAGTGACAGCCATGCAGACCTGTTAATGTCAGTTCTGATAATTTGGTGACTGTACATTACGACAGTATCACTGAGTTGATGATTTTCGTCTACCCTTTCACGTGCCTGCTTGATAATGTATTGATCTTGTAACAAGAAATTTCATTTTGATCACTTCTGGTAATTAAAGGTTTTTTATTCTTTTAGTGGACATCTCTCCTACAAAGTGGATACAATGTACCTCTCCTTTATGTGTACCCTGTAATGTCTCTCTAGTATTTTCTCAATAATAATTTATTAATGTAAGCATTGGATGTGTTTGTTTTACACTTGGCCTTGTGATCCTGTATTTATTTGAACCCTGGTACTTGCTTCAGGGCCCAGGATTTAATCGTGAAAATAATATGTATGGTAGTTTACATTTGAGTTGAAATATTTTACATTTCTTCTTTCAGTTTGGCCTGAAAGCACTGACAGCGCTGCCAGGTTTCATTACATCCTCTGTGCACTCTGTTCTCTTCTCACTGCTCGCACACCCTCAGCTGAGTATCAGGGAACATGCTACGAAAGCACTGTCAGCTATCTTGTCAAGATGCGAGTTTGAGGTGAGGCAGTCACTACACATGTACATGATGGATTGTATGAGCCACATGTTGACTAGATTGTAATCTGTCTTTCTCTTAAGTAAAGAAGTTTGAGCAAGAGGCTCTAGGCAAGAAGAGATTTGGGCAATCTCATCTTGTGTCCATACTGCCCTTTTTCATTCTCCTTCATGGATAAACACTTGTTATACATGTACATGTACCTACATGTAAGAGAAAAGACTAGCTGCAAGCAGTGTAGCATTAATTTATTTACAGTTGTTCACAAGCTAGGGAGTAATGAAAAAAGACATTGTACATAACAGTTTTTATAGCATTTACATGTAGTCTTTGAGTCTCCCAATAATAGGAAAACGACTCAAAGGTATCAAAAACTGAAAGTTCACTCAAATTATTTTCATGAAGGTTGCACTGTCTTCGTTCCAAGAAGTTATTAACAGACTTTGTCATGGAACACAAGGGGATGGCCAGGGTCAGGAAGTCATTGAAGGCATCGACAAGGTAAAATTATTTTAGAAACTATCATGATCTAAAATAGCACATACATCTGTATGATTTCAACCATGCTAGTAATAAAAACACGGAAGTAGTGCAAGCTGTTGACAAAATGGTTGGATGTCTTGAGAAACGAGAATTTACATTGTACATCTTGATTATCACAAAAGGGTGTTATTTCTGTATTTTTTTGAATTTGGAATTGCATAGCAAAGAAGAAAATACTTTCTTCACTTGATGATGACGAGATGACAGTGTGTTTTATTCAAGGTGACAAAAGTAAAACATATGAAAAAGCGCATCTTGAAAAGGAAAACTAGAGGTTGACCCTATGGCGTTTTCCTAAATAAAAGTATAAAACAGATATAAACTACATGTATGCACAATGAATTCAAAACATATAAAATAGAACACAAATAACTATTGTGACCGTTTGAAGAAATTCAAGAAAGCTGTGGAAATTCTCATCTATGGCTTTTGTTCTATTAAATTTGTACATGTAACTTCAGAGAAACAAGGAAAGTGTTTTTCCATTTAAATTTTAAATAGCTTAAATTAAATGCTGTATATAACAGTAGCATGTAAATAATTTAAATCAACGCCCAAGTCGCTAGTGGAGGGAAGGTGCCTAGGAAGCCCGGGGACTGCAACTGCAGTCACATCCCCAAGGCGCTAGAACACCCGACTGGCTTGCCCAACCCACAAGCAAGCCACCATTCCCCCGCGTCAGGCCCCCTACAGGCACCCATCACACTCAAGCCAGACGCTGAATAGAGGGGGGGGATAGGGAGGGAACGCCAAGAACTGCTAAACTACTATAATTCAATCCACAATGCCACGCTAACAGAGCAGCGAACACACTGCAAGCACATGGGACGACAACGTACGTACTAACCAAGAATACCGCTGGACAATGTCAGCCCCAGGGCTCCCACGACCATATGACTGCTGCAAACGCTACAGAACATACCAAACGCTTAACAAACACCAACAGACAGCCAAGACACTATCAAATGCCTACAAAAAACGCTACTGACCAGACTAGCTCCTGGTCATTAACTATGTAAAATTTTATTTTACTATATCAAATGCTACAGAACACACTAAACGCTAAACAAACGTTAACAGATGGCCAAGACGCTAACAACCACCTACAAAAACGCTACTGACCAGACTAGCTCCTAGTCGTTAACTACCGGTATGTTAAATTTTCATTTAACTATATTATAACTTGCTATGCAAGCACATTAAGGTAAATGTGTTAGTGTTAAACATCATCTTTTATAGTACAATACACAAATTTTGTACATTCAAGCAAGATACAGCTGCACTTGAATTTTACATTGTAGCGCCTAAAAAAGTTGAGTTTATTCTAATTTCAGCTACCTCACCATGCTGTGTTTAGAGAACATTTCAAGTTCCTTAAAGCTCATGAGGCTGAAGGCTTGCTAGGAGTCTGTATTTTCTTGATTAAGGTGAGCATTACTACCAACAATTCAGTTATCTCTGGTTTCTGAAGTGTGAAGTGACTAAGATTATTTCTACTAGTTCTTACTGGTTTTTCAGCTGGGAGTTTTACAATTAGGGGATACCCCTGCTCTAGTCCATCACAGTGTTGTATGTCTGATATGTAGATTGTACCCCAACATTTAACTCACCTCTACCAACTTAGACACCTGGGTGGCTAGAAGCAATGACTCTCGTTATGGGGTTATTTTAGCCAGTTATGGGGTAAGTTTCTGGGTTTAAATACCAAATGATTCTCTTGCAAACTCTACTTGTACTTTGGTGATTAATAGTTCCCTTCTAACAGGTGTTGAGGTATCATCTTAGAGTTGAATATTTTTATCCTCAGCACATTCCTCCAGGGTTTCTGTTACCCAAGTGGCCTCTTTACTTCTCAACACTGAACCTCTATCTGATGCACCCAGCCTCCACTGTGCGACAAGCAACAAGTGTTGCTTTTAAATATTTAGGTAAGGTTGACCCATTTCCTATGATTATTAACATATTCTTTATTCGGTAATTGCATTTGACAAAAAGGAGAATGCAGTCCTAATGCAGAATGGAGTCATGTGAGATTTTATGGGATGGTTGATTTTGGGATGCACAATTGGCCTCCCCACAGCAGGGGCAAAAACAAATGACTACTGTTCAAATCACATGCATACCAGACAGTTTTGGTTTCTCTATCTTTGGCTCATTTATAGCCATTATTCCAGACCGTGGAAATCAGCACAAACAGGGCTTGTTTTGTCAGGGTTGCGAGATGATGTGCTTTTGTTCATGAACACACTCTGGCTTTGGGATGCCAACCGTGGGAACAGTTACATGTACATTTCATTGGCTGTATTTCGAGTACATTAATAAATTTTGTTGATTGGTTCCAGTGGTGAGAAATAGTTATTATTGCTTGCTTTGCTTGTTTATAGTTGCCAAAGACAGCAGTAATCCTGTGTTTCTAAAGCTAGTCCTTCAAGGTCTTGCTGCTGACTGGAAGGTTGATAAGGACTTGTTAGTGGCAAACTTAAAATCATCTCAGGGTTCTACCCAACTAGAGCCATCTACATCAAACATTTCCCACAGCTCTGATGATGGCGTTGGCAAACATGTACCATCTGAAACCCAAGCTCCATTTCAGCGCAGTCCAAGTCCAGCTTTAAGTCCTGATCTCTGTTATGTCTCAGCTGACTCTTTAAGCAGTTTTGGTGAGTTATGCATCTTGTCCTTTCTTGTTTGCCTAGTCCAAAGTGTCTGTTGATTTTGGTCATTTATCAAGCAGCTGCTGCACACACTTACATATTATATGTATTCACTAACATAAAAGGGTCTCATTGGAATTCACATCCTTGGATAGGTTACTGTCTGAAAGATCTAAAGGGCTCCAGAGTTCTGGAATGAAAATAAAGTATTAGGGCTTCATTATACTGCCTCAAGGTCTTCAGAAAACTGACATTATTATATAATTTTGTGCCCCCACTCAAGAAAGAGAAAAAACTTGGGCTCAGGTCTCTAAACAGCACTTTAATAAAACCCAGCTTCAAGATGATGAAGGTCTTATTTTTAATGCTAATATTGATTTTGGCTTTCAAGGAACTGAAGTCCATGGAGCATTGTCTGTTGGTCACAGTAGAACATCACCAATACAGTCTTACAAATCAACAAGGACCAGCATTCGTCAGGTTGCAAAGGCACTTGCAGGTAAATGTAAAGGTTTTATTCTGTTTGAACCACAGTAATGCAGCACATTTTGTCTTGTGTCTAGATTGCTGACAGCCTGTATTTTTCTCATATCTTTCTCTTTGATTGTTGAACGTGTGAAAAACAAAATCATGAAAACCTGGAACCAAGTGAAAAAGTCTGCACTCCCCTGAGCTCCACGAGTCTGCCAGCTCTGCTTGCTGTTTCTCATGCATTTGTTCTTCATGCTGAAAATAGAGATGCTATGAACGATGCAGTATGCAGAATCATGCTTTCAGTACATTCTTTAAATTTATGATTAGCGCCAACATACATTGTATGTTTTGGAGCAACATAATTTCTTTTCTCGGTCAGAGGGCGCCTCTTCCTCTGCTGATGTCTTGATGTCAGAGAGCTGGGAATGGAGAGAAGGAAGACTTCTGGCTTATGAGCTCATATTGAAGTTTTTAATAACAAACCACATCCACTATGTGTTTCCCACGTATGTGCTACCAACGTCTAAAGGTTCCGCAACATCATCTTCAGTCGACGAAACCCTGATTAGTAGGTATGACAGACTTAATCATTAAATTGGGGTTGGTGGTGGTTTTTCTTACATAAACCCCCATCAGCTTTAACATTTTGTATTTAAGATGAATTGTCTTGGAGTAAAATAAATGACAATCAAGAGACCAAAAATCTTAATAAAATAGTGAAATTAAGAAACTGAGGTCTGTCCTAAAAAGACAAACATGTAGACCACATGTGTGAACGTCTACGTGTGCTCGTGCATCTATGTCTACGTGTACATGTAAATGTGCATTAGAGCAGATTTCACTTGCATGTCGAAAGTAATTCATATTTGCTCTGTTTTTACATTACCATACAATGTGATTGGCTTAGAAAACTCCCACCACCTTGTCATTCAATCAGTAGTGAAACCCACGTCAACTGTGATTCGCTCACGGTCCACGTTTTCTCGTGCTTCTCGTCAGCTTCAACTGTACAAGTCATGTGTTTTCTTGGAGTATTGATTGGTTCACTGGACAGTCTGATTTTATGATATGCAACTGAAATCTGCTCTGTTGACATGTACCACAACTGGATGGAAATGTGTTTAGTCAATGTTTGGAACATTTTGTTAAATGTGTTAATTTTTTTCTCTGTGAGATTGAAAGCACAATAATTTTAAAAATAACTGTAGTATTGAGTGGTTTTGTTAATCAATTAGCAATTTCTAGTTGAAATTTGCTTTTAATGAGTTTGTTTATTTGGTTACATTTTAAATCTTGTATATTTTGTACATGCTAATTTGTGTAGCTACAGTAATACATACACATCTGCATTGGGTCATCAAGTTGTACTGTTCAGTTTCAATCAGAGAAAAGGTCTGTTAAGTAATGAATTTCTCAAGGCTCTGCTGTTGATGTTAGCTTTCTTCCCAGTAATGTTTCTAATTGATGCACTCTAACTGTCCACAGTATTTTCCCTGAAGAAAATGCTAGGCATCAATTTTGATGCACAGTGCCTTTTACATATTGACATGCTGACCATTTCTATGCATGTAACCATCTAACTTGCACCTTTAATGCTTCTTGCACATCTTTTTGCATCTAGTTTGTCAAACAAAGGTGCTGCTAATCAATCTTTGTTTACTAGAGACAGGTAAGTAAACACAAATAAATTATATGTATCTAGTCTTCCTGTTACTATTTGGCACAGAGAACAAGGGACTAACGGCAGTGCTGGACATGACAACGGGTCCTCGGACATTGTTCAACCATCAGGGCTGAGCACCAAAACTATTTAGCTTTTGGTCGTGAAGATCTTGTTCCTAGACTATGTTTACATTGAAACATGTTAAAAATCACAAATCATACGGATCCATGGGTTGTTTTGCTTTCATAACAACATTTGCTTTGAAAAATGCAATGCTAAGGGCACATATTGGTTCATGCATGCCTATGGATTGAGTCATCATTTTGTTTGCAAATTACGTAATGTCTGACCAAATTGGCAGTATGTCCAGCCAAAATAGAGATTTGAAAGCACACGTCTGCTACGTAATAAAAATTATTTCCAGCACTGCCATAATGGTGAAAAATTGTACTTTCACTAATTAATGGCAAAGGTAAAAGTAAATGTTCGGTCGTCTTATCTTCTGTTTTTCATCTTGTAACTTGCCTAGCTTATTTATTGTATGCATTGTTTTCAGTACCTGTAAGGATAAAAACCCAATTTATAAGAGTTGTTGTAACATGTAAAAGTCCACTTTCTCTTTTCATTTGTTGTATGCTCATTAACCCGAGTTTCATTTTCCTTTTAATACATTGTTTGTGACAGGTGGAAACTGAAACCTGCAATGTTTAAGTAACTCTGAATTTGTTATTACTTTAATCTCTCAAAAACTGAAAGATCAATTTTGTTATAGGTCCAATTCTGACATCTTAACTGCTAATACACACTCATTGTGTGCAAAGAGCAATAGTATTGGCATCATTAACTCCACTACATCTGGTACACTCTACAGTACAACAACTATTAAGGTATGGTGAAGGTTACTGCCATGTCTATGTGCAAGTGTCTACAGTAATTGAACCATGCCTTGCTAAGCAAAGATGACATCATCTGTTGTGGAGGGGTGACAACAGGGGAAACTAGTGGGTATATGGAGTGGGAACTCAATAGGAGGTGGGAGAAGAGAAGGCAGGAAGTAGTATTCCTAAGGCAGCATACAAAGAAAGGCTTGCCAGGATTTGTGGACTTTCCAGTTGGGCTAGTGAATTCTGTCCACTTTCTTGGAAAATGCTTGGAAAACGGAAAGTACTGCAGGAGACAAACGTTTGGGGGGACTAGTGATGAGGATTTTATTTTCAGGCTGGTACATCATGGTTGGAGTTTGCCTGAGGAGCAAGCCTGAAAATTTGTTTTCTTTTCACCCTGCCAATGTGGCAGGAACTATCAGAGGAACCAAGAGAAAAAAAAGGAATAAAACTATGATAATATTTTTCAAAAGATAGAGCACCAAGCCTGGCAACCATTTAAGAACTGGTAGGAGCTGGCAGTTAAGGGTACAGGAAGGGGCTACCTCTGTTGTAGGATTTTGAACTTATGGGTACTGGTGAATTGGCTGTTGGAGTAGTCTGAGAAAATGCCGGCCAGGGACGGTTAACCAGGAATGGAGTGGCATCCCACTTGTGCGAGAGAAACTACATTGCTAATTATAATCCAGTAATATTATACTTCTAGCCTCTTTGTGCTATGCCTTAAGTAATTGAATGCCTGGAAGAGGCTATTATATTTCAAGCGCACAATTGTTCCAAACTTGTGACAGGATTCAGCCAAAACTGGGATAAATCTGGTGATATCTCTGGAATTATATTCCCTACAATTTAAACTTTGTGTGACAGAACTGCTCTGAAATTTATCAAAAATATTTACGCATATTTGTCCTTGGACGGTATCTGTTTCTCATCTGTTCCTTTGTGAACAGGTAATGTTTAAGGGCATTTAGCCAGGGTCAGTTGTTGCTTTATAACCTGTTCATTTTCAAGAGCAGACCCTATAGCACATTTTGGATGGCCACTTTTCAAATCCTGGCTTAAAGCCTGGTATCAACCACTATAGGAATGCCTCAGAAAGACGTATCTCTCTAGGGGCTAACAAGGTAAATTTCATGTGCTTTCTTTTTTTTTACTTTTAGGAAGGGGAGAGTGGTGTCACCGACAACAAGCACACACCGACGGAAACGATACATCACAGCAGAGAAAGCAGCTTTACATTGAGGAGGAAACCAATGTATGTCATTACAGCTGAACCCCGCCTTACGACCACCCCGTTAATACGGTTACCTCGTTATTACCGCTACTTTATTCTGGCGCGAAAAAAAGCACAGTCAGTCATTTTCTTATTTACACAACCCTTTTAATACGACCGTCCCGTTGATACGGCCAGATTTTTGTGGCCCTTTGGTGACCGGATTAACGGGGTTTCACTGTATTTTTAGTCCAGCAAGTATAGGCCAGTGACAATTTTGCTTCTAAATGATTAACACGTTATTTTACTTATGACACAGGAGAGCAGCTTCCTGTGCTGCTGTTGATGCTGACACACATACAAAGCAGCTGATAAGACAGTACTCTGTAGCCACACCACAGATCTCTCCAAAGAGACCATTTAGACTTCCACGAACAAGCACGTTTGCTCTGGTGAGTGAATTGAAACAGCTAACCACACTATTAAAAGAAAAACTGACAACCTAACAGCACTATACTACTAACAAGATACAGTTAAAACAGCTAACCACATTGTCAAAAAAGACTGACCAACTAAACACCACTTTACCACTAACAAGATACATATAAGACAGTACTCTGTAGCCAAACCACAGATCTCTCCCAAGAGACTATTAATTTTAGTCTTCCACGAACGAGCGCGTTTTCTCTGGTGAGAGAATTGAAACAGCTAACCACACTATTAAAAAAGANAGCGGTTTTTCCTCTCTAGTAATTTAAATCATTGTTACCGGAATATTTTTAAAATTTGCCTCTGCTGTTTAATTTACCAGGTAGTGCTTCAAACAATCGAATGTTTAGCGGATACAAGGTGGGAACTACGAAGGATGGGACAGCAGGTAAGTCGGTACTGTGGACGTTATATCTCGAAAAGAAATGGAGGATCACACGAGGTAAAGAAAAATTCTTTGACGGTTATAAGACCACCATTGCCCCATCGACTGAGCAACGGGGTCAGACAGGAACAGCTCAACGTAATTACGGTGGTAATTCGTAGCATGTTTTGAAAGTATTTTCCAGCTGCTTCTAATATCAGTTGCGTGAAGCAACATTGCATTTACTTAGAAAGATTTAATTTTGGGATGATCGACTGGCCTTTTCCTTTTTTTCAGGTCCTTCCACTTGCCACAGAAGTAGTGAGATGGTTTGACATGAAGCCCTTGGAAATCCTGTGGGACAGTTATCTGTCACGGGAGCACACACTGTTGTGTTACGGCAGCTGTATTGCTCTTAGATACTCCATCCTTCATGCTGGCCGCTTAATGCATTTCCTGGAACAGCCACCACCGAGCTGGAAGGTACGATTGCCCCTGCCTCGTCCCCAGTTGCCCGGGCGATAGGAAAAAATATAGTTAGGCCATTTCCGAATTACCTTTAGCCTCTTTCTCAAAGCGAGCCTTGGTGCCTATCCTTTCATATGAAAATGAGATTTCGTTTACATGCCAATTAAAGTCATTCTGTTTGTGCACCAGACCTCGCTCTGATAGAGAGGCTTAAGACAACTCGAAAATGGGCTATTTACTATTGAGGAGGGGCGTAGGGAAGCATGGGAAGCTTTCTCTCTCTATTTTTCTCCTTCCCATCGCTCCCCGCGCGCGTGCTCCCCACTCACTACCAGCTTCCAGAGTGATTACTTTCGTTTTGGCGTTACCGGACTTGGTTGAAAACCGCTCTATTCCGTGAACTAGGGGTCGTTCGTAGCTGTGATTTATAGAGTCCTGCATAAACTTCATATCAACCAGGTTTTGAAGGTACACGAGAGTCAGGCTTTTTCTCATTTGTATTCATTTGCCTCAAATTTTGTTTCAAGTTGATCTGTTGGTTGTTTTGTTGTTGTTGTTGTTAGGATCCAGAGAGCTGTGGTCGCGCTGCTTTGACAGTTGTAGCAGAGATTCAGCGAGGCCTGAAGAGATGGCTAAAACAGGTAATGATGTAAGAACAATGCTCTAAAGATTGTCTTGAGTAAAACGTCAGGGTATTCCCACAGAAAATTAAAATCCTAAATAGCGCAACAATGCTACCTGGATGTGTGGGAATGTCGGTTGCCTTGCGGTTGACGTGTGCAGTGTTTTACCTCAGGCCTGTGTCATTATGTTGTCTGATTCTTGAGCAAGACATTTACTAGTATAGACTTCTAAACGTATGACAGATTTAGCTTTGTTTCTGTCTAAACAAAGAATTCCGGCGGGCATATTCTGAGCTATTCTATCATTTCGTTTAATCATTTGTTAAATTCATTTTGGCAGGTTCAAGATTTACTGAAAGATCCTTGCTTTGATAAGCTATCAGTTGTTGCTATGGAAACCATCATGATGTCCCACATCTGTTTTCCTCGCGACCCCGATGACTATGAACAGGTTACAATTCATGTATACCTACATACAGTACATTCTGAACTTTGATTCATTGTTCAGTTTACAACAGACCACGTTCGATATATCAAGACTGTATTCTAACGTGGCTCCGAGGCTTTCACGACAAAATTCAAGACAAAAGTTTTTTTAAGTTTCTTTTGTCCCTCAATTCCCAAAAGAGACTTGGATACAAGGAAAACACCACCAAAGATAGAAGTTTTTCCTGAAGCCTCGGAGCCTTGTTGGACTATTGATGCATCGAACGTGGCCCTATTAAACGTTGTTCTTAAACTTCCCATTCCTCTTTAGGTCAGTTGTTGTAATACTCTAAATTCACAGATATGTTTTAGTCATCTCATCAAATTGCCAAATTCTTAACAGAATTCTTCAATTCAAATGTGTGACAGGAAGTGAAATTAATTGTAATATTTCTAACATAGAGTAAAAATGTTGATTGAGTGGAGTTTTTATGAATTGCAATATGTATAACATACGTTTCTTCTCCTTACAGAAACTTAGAGAAGAAGAAATAGTTTTAAACAAGATTCTGTTTCTTTACATGTATTCTTACCCAGACAGTCCTCTAGGTAGGTCACATTTATTTATTTTGTCTGTCTCTGACTATATTTTAGCTCATAATTTCTTGTACTGGATAATCCTGCATCTGACTGTGCGGGCGCGTCAAGTGAACCAACAAGAAAGTAGACAAACAACAAACGATAGTGTTTCAACTTTGCTTTATCGACCACCACGAGTGGCGTCTCTAAAAGTCTTGTTTTAACATTGGCTTTTTTCATGAAGAAGAAGGATAAAAAAGAAAGAAAGAAAAAATAACAAATGGCTGAGAAGATGAAAGTGTTTGGAGTCAGGTTCATATGCATCTCCATCGTTTTGAGCCTTTCTCGCGGAAAAGATTTCCGGACTTCGTATTTCATGAATAAACAGCGAGATCGTAATGGAGGCGAGATGTCTGCAATGTTAAGGACGTTCGCTCCCAAAATGTTCCCGCGTACAGATTTTTGTTAACTTGCCATGCAGTAAGGTAAAGATCAACTCTTACCAAAAAGCCATAAAAGTGGGGAGTCACCGGGCTCGTTTTCGAGACAAGGCGCGTTGAAGACCATGCGATTTTATAAGCGTGCGTTATTTTAAGATGATCTAAGCCTACAACTATCAGCAATAAAGGAGCTACATTGGTGAAATTTAGACCAGGTCAATGTCCTCAATTCAACACAACTAAGTAGATCAAGTAAACATTTGCAGCTGGTGAAGTTCCTTGAGGTAGATTAGGCCTTGAAAAAGAGAACATTTTAGCCTTGCCCGTCCACACTCGAAGAAAACGTCGGTCGCACGAGAGGAGAAAAGGCGAAATATTTGTAACTTCTCACGTACAGGTTTTTTTTTTTTTTTTTTTTTNAAAATCAGTAAAGGAAGTGATCTATGGAAAGAAAAGAGGAGGTCACCGACCATCAAAGAGAGCAAACTGCAGGTGAAGTTAACGCAACCAGTACCAAGCCCTACGCGCGCTTGATGTATAACGTGGCGTGACGTTGCAACGTGAATTTCGTGCGTAGTAAGGATGCGCAGAAACAATGGATGCATACGTCTTTAAGTTGGAGGTGAAAGGACAAAAGATATTTCGCGCGAGGAAGGCTGAAAAGGGCTAAAAAAATAGTTGCTGAGACTTACAGAAATGTTTTTATTGTCAATACATGTTTTCGTCCCTGAGGCGAACTTACATACGTTATGCTAATTTAGAAGTGTAGATTGTTGATCTGAATTTCTCAAGGACAGGTGTCTTTTTGCGCTGAATTATAGCTCGACAGCAATGCAGCTGTATTTAATTGGCCATTTTAATTGTAAAAAAAGGTCAAGTTACGGTAGCGTTTCAGTTAATGGTCAAAGATGGACTTTGACGATAACGCAAGTTTTGCACCGCGGGCAGGCCCATTTGATAACAACGTTTTTGAAATACTGATGTCAATTAAGGCAATTGGCCATTTTCTAGCTCCTTTTGCCTCTGAGTGTAAAACTTGTCATATGAAAATGAGTTTTCTGCCAAATTCATTTTCTTGCAAATCAAAACATTTTAAGTAAATACGGATATCTCGGCAGGATTCGTCGCGAAACAGAGGCAGTACACAACTTGGAAATACCCTATCTCAATATACATAAGCAAATTCGTTTTCCCAGCGTGGGCTCTTGTGTGAAACGTAATTTTCGGAATATCTTTTCTTGTTTTCCCATGCTTGCAGGTGCTTAAATGTTGCTCGCAGGCAGTTTTTTTTTTTTTTTTTTTTTTAGTAGTTGCTGTAGATGGTATCGTAGCTAACAGCGCTTTTCAAGTCATTTCCACTTAGTCATTGTCAACCATATTGTTACTTAAAGAACGTAATATTTCAAATTTAGGAAAAAGTACATACACAGGAAATGAAAATGACTTGCAATAGAGTTTGTTTAGTTGCAGGTGTGCTGCTCGGCTTAGCATGCGTAATGTTTTGTTCTCAAATTCAACAATTTCATTAATACTCTCATGCAAAACAAATCTAGATTACGTGTTTTGAATTGCCTCGAGATTGATTATCTTCAAATACCCCGGTTTTAGATTCCTGTTTTGGGTTTTGCAACTTTTCATTTGATGCTGACATTAATATCATTTACTCGATGTTAAAGCAGTATTGAGACGTTTTTGTCCATTTGTTTAAATTATGACGTATTTAAAGACAGAACTTGTTTGACTTTCTCTGCGCCGATCACGAATCAATCGACAATAGCAGTTGAACCTTAGAAATCAGGTGTGCAAGATATTGGGAAGGCCTAGTCGAGGAATATTATTTTGATTTCCTTATTTGATCAGAAATTTGCAGCGTGGAAAAAATCTTGACGTCGAATCCCGTTGCCCTCCGTGCGCTGAGAAAAGGGAATTGTTTTTTTATGAATAATCTTCTGCACGAATCGTTGTCATGAAGAAGTCTTCGTGTGAAGCCGTGCGGCAATATGTACCCTCAAACACGGAACTTGAAGATCTTCGTTGGACGTTTTTCGTCAATTGCTTATTCAACATTTTCCTATCCTACACGGCAGTTTCGTTGAACGCTGTAACTATCCACGCGATAAGGAAAACTTCGTGGTTGCCAAAGCCGTTGAAAACATTGCTTCTGAGTCTGGCTGTGTCTGATCTCGGTGTTGGTTTAATGGTGCAACCGTTTTGTATCTCGCTTCTGGTCAAGTGGTTGCAGCGAGATAATCCAGGCTGTGTGGCTTACAAGTTGTATTTCATGGTTATGAGCTTGTTCGCCTTAGCTTCGTTCTTTGGTGTTGTTCTCATAAGCTTGGACAGATTCCTGGCCATTCATTTGCACCTCAGATACCGGGAACTCGTCACCCACAATCGAGTTGTTGCTGTGGTGATCTCTGTGTGGATTGTTAGTGCAATTCTGTCCTTGATAACGGTGTGGTATCCGAGTGAGAGCTCTCTAACTGTGTTTGCTGTAGGAATTATTTGCATTTTCTTTACCACATTATTTTTTGGCAGGATTTTTGTAGTTTTCCGACACCACCAAGAACAGATTCAAGTGCTTCAAGTACGGCAAGGAGCACAGAATAGCGACGCGGCGAATTTGGCGAGTCTTTTGAAATCTGCATTCGGTATATTCTACATATATGTCGTGTTAATGCTTTGTTATATGCCTCGAGCTTTTAGCTTAGTTGCAACTGCAATCTCTGAACCAAATACAGCTTTAAAAGCGTTTTTGATTTACTCGTGGACATTGGTGTTTCTAAATTCATCGTTAAACCCGATAATATACTGCTGGAAAATGAGACACATTCGATACGCTATCATGGACATACTGCGGAACATGTCTAGGCGCCGCAGAAGTGTCTCCTTTCGTAGGTTTAGGGCCCGCACTTCAAGTGAATTCACGACTTCTCTTTAATATACATTTAAAACTCACACAAGAGTTTATTGAGAGGGCTGACGTTTTCAGAGGAGGAGGGAGGTGTTAGAGAGTCAGAGATTGGTAGATAAATGTTGTTATCAGAGATCGAAGATTTATTTGAATTCAGCTTCAGTTTGTAACGCATTCAAAAGGAAAACTGTCTCATCAAGGCCAAAAGTGCTGCATTAAAAGTAAACACAACTGGACTATTTTTTTCCTGTCTTTATTCCGCTGCGCTTTGTTTTAACCCAGACGTTACACCATAGGTTAAGCGCGTAGGGTTTATACCACATTCAAAAGGAAAACTGTTGCATCAACGCCAGAATGAGTGCTGTATTAAATGTAAACAGAACTGGACGTATTTTTTCTCCCCTTAGTCCGCTGCGCTTTGTTTTAATCAAGACGTTACACAATAGGTTAAGCGCGTAGGGTTATACTACTAAAACTAGAAAAGAAAAACAAGTAGAGCGATATATCAGGCCATCATTATGTTGAGCTGAGAGAAATATAATGTTAAGTTCATTGTGTCATTTAACAGGAAATTTCGATTTAAATGCAGTAAATGTGGTCTGTTTTGTCCATTATCGCCCCAAAATAATTAATCTTTGGCAGTCAACCAGCAATCCATAAATGAATTGTAAAACAACCTGTTCATTTTCTAACGACCGCTACTGATTACAACATCGTTTAAATCCATAATTAATTTAGACGGAAAGAGTTTTAATTTAAATGTCACACCAAAAGATATGAAATGCAAATATAATCTTAAATCTAAATTTAAGCCCATAGGCTTACTCAGATTTCGATCTTAAAAACCGGCATAATTTTTTTCTGATTTTGAACCATCCGTTGTTCTCTGTGATTGTACGTTGTTTCGCGTTAGACGATTAAAAGCTCTTGATGTTTGCATGACGAATAAAGAACTTTTTCAATAACATGAGAATGGTGTGAACTGCGGAAATACAAACGAAATGCAGATATGACTGTTGCAGCTGTAATCGCAGTTTAAGCCATTGCAAATTAAGCCCTGAAAAGATTTTCAGGGCCTCAACGGGATTCGAACCCGTGGTCTCTGCGTTGGTGCTGCATTGCTCTAACAACTGAGCTATGAAGACCCAGACATTGAAAGCAGGCCGTTTTATTGAGTTCACAGCATTACTGTAGTGAGTCCAGATTGCGATTACAATGAGTGCGATGGTCGCATCTTCATTTCATAAGAACATTGTCGTCTCATATCGATTTCTTTTGAAACGCATAAGACAGCAACCTTCAGCTTAGGTAAATTAAACGGAGGCCATCAAATTGAGATAGCCAAAAATTACCGAAAACTGTCGTAATTCTGTGTTCAAGAGTGTGTCACTCGCCCTCCGGCAGAGTACAAGCATATCTGTAGTTTCAGCTGAAACAAGTCATTTTGGCAAATTTTCAGCGTTATGCATCTCCACATCCTAGCCGTTGGGAATGCGTTATCAACACAGGCAGATAAGACATACACTCCGTGCCGGAAAATAAACAATGATAGCGTTTACTTTTCTTCATATCAGTAACCTTGATTAAATCCATCATAACGGTAAAAATGAACCAAAGCATGTATTTTCACCTGATTCGCTTTAATACTACTCTCAGCAAACTATTGTAGTTTGCCATTCGACGTCTGAATATCTGTAGAGCGTTACTCTTTACAGACGAATATGTCAAAGTTGTACAGCTGTTTCGACAGAGGTTGCCTCACAAAAGCGTAAAGAAATGCGACAATGCCGATTGCTACTGTTATGGGTCGTAAGAGTTTGGCTTGCGCGATCGAAGTTCATGGTGTTTCAGCATGAAGGAAGGAGAAATCATGAATACATGTGTTTGCTACTTCCTTGAGCTGGAACTTGAACTTTTATTTTATTGTTTTCTTGCATACAGTTACAATTGCTTGGCCCCGCAACCAGTTCCAGAACTAATGGAGGCCGGGGCAAGAGTTTATATTAAAAAGGACAGGGCAAAAAGTAATGATAATTTACAACAAAATTACAAAAGGTACCTATAAACAATAGAAAAAACTACACGCGAACGAAAACAAAGTAGCAGTATAATGCCCACATACAGAAGAGAATAGAATGCTATTATTCTCTCTATTATTTTATTACGCCAAAAAAAAACATTGAGCTTCAATAAGGCAACCGTGAACCACCATTACCCATAAAGGTCTTAATTTTGATTTTAATTTTGAATTTAATTTTGATTTTTCACATAGGGATAACCTCTTTACTACCTTTTCTTAATGCATCTTTCTTTCTTTTTTTTTCCTCATTTTATTTTTCCTTAATTTTAATTTGTATAGCCAGTTTGCATCTGGAATAAATAAAGTTTGTATGTACGTATAATACTGATCGACATTGTCGCTGGACAACCTTTCTCAAAACAGATTATAAACGTGTTCTCCTTCTTGTGTTCTCTCACCTTACATGTTGTATCTGTTTAATTTGATAGGTGTTGTCCTGAGAAAAAAATTAAGTCCAGAGGCTCACTCGCCTTTTATTCCGCCGTCGGAAGGTTTTCTTAGGTACGTAACCACAGTCATTGTTGATGTGGAAGTATTATTCCCGCTTCTAGCCGCCATGATATGGGGCCTATGAGAGTATCACTCAACGCACAACTACTTTAGGATTAGCCAATGATTTGCAGCTCAATTCTATCTGGATTTTTGTCAAAATGCATTTTGCTAAATACTTGGTACTACGATTATCAGTTGAGTACGGCACGAGGGAAGTTTGGTTACGAAGTTTTGGCCTTAAAATTATGGTGTTGTCACGGGCAACTTACCTCGTTTCCGTTGGTAACAATATCAACAGCCGTKSRTCGCCTGTCGCGTCGCCTACAATTTCGCGCGCTTTGCTGCCAATGACGTCAAAGGCCGACAAGTTGCCAATGGATACGGAGCCAGTTGCTCGTGACAACAAGACGATTTTTACGTTAAAACTTGGTGACCAAACTTTCGTCCCGCCTTACTCAACTGATAATCGCAGTATATTAGAAATGTTTCTTCTATAAAACTGATCGTCAATTGTTTACCTCAGATGACTGTCAAATTGATTCCATGTTGCTGTGCGTCTGTTCAGTAATAGGTCACAGATGACATCAAAATGTGGTAAGAACATCAGTGACCCATGAGGCGACGTCCTCTTTGACGTCCTCTGTGATCTATTACTGAACAGACGCACGGCAACATGGAATTAGTCTTTATATAATAAACAAAAAAAACAAAAAACTGTTAATGTCGTCATCTGTGCGTCTGTCCTTCAATTGATTATGAGTAAGAACCAATCAAAATGAGAGGATAATTTGACTTATTTGGTAACAATTTATTGACTTTGTCCTCGTTTGCTTTCAGTTTTTCAGCGAGAGCATGTACCACACAGCAGCATGCACAACAGGTCTGTTGTTGAATGTTGTTTAACGCTGAATGTTTATGGCGGTCAATCCGCTTTGGTCCAGGTCAAACGTCGAACTTCGCATGAGGCGAACTAAAACTGAGCGAATTAAGATCATGATAAGTTCGACATTTGACTCCACTAAAGCAGATGATAGATCGCGTTTGTCGATCTAAATTCGAATGAAGTTCGACGTTTGACCCAATGGTCGAGCTTTACCCGTTTGCATCGACTCAAATTGCTATTTAGGTGTGAAGTTCGACGTTTAACCCGAGCCTTAGCTGCAACAAGCTAGTTCTCACTCAAACTGAAAGGAGGGCTGTTAAAAGCTATCTTTTCTCTCCTTAGGCTGGGAAGTTTCTAATCTCTGAAGTGCACCCGGTCCTTGCAAGGTTCCTGAAAGATTGTGATGCGGATCAATTGGTAAGAAAAAATGTGTCAGTGGAAGGAGGGTAGATTAAAATTATCAGGGTTTCTTCGTCCCCGGGGGCGGAGGGAATACAAACTTTGGGAGATTTGTTAAAGATCCAAAACAGAGAACGATAATTCCAGAAAAAACACTCTTTATAGTTACTTGTAATGATGTGTGTTTCTACCTTAATTTTTTGCTGTATCTATTATGCTGCTTTGATGCTACAAGCTGAAAGACCATTATTAAGCCATCAAGATATCTTGAAGACTTTAACACTTACAAACTATTTCCTGTCCAAACAGATAATGATATTCCCCGTGTTAGTTCATCACATCGGACAGTTCTTTGAAGATTCTACCATGTGCAGAGCGCTGCTGGACGGGTGAGTTAGTTACCACAGGAGCCCTTCCGCTAAAATATACCGTGTAGTTTTCTTGTTTCGAATTCTCGCTCGCAATCCATGTCAATCTTGCCCAATCTTAACCATCCTTGTTTCGTTTTCGATTATTTTAATCTGTCTATAGCTACTCTGTCTTAGTAAACTTCTGGTCGTAAGTTTGGTCATCGCAAGAATTATCTTCTCATGAATCATAACATTGAATGGGAATAACCAATGGCACTGCCACTGTTTCCGGATGGAATTGGAATTTGTAAAGTGTTGGTTTTTGCGAAGGGAGGAAATCGGAGAACTCAGGGAAAAGCTCGTGGAGCAAGGACGAGAAGCAATAACAAACTCGGCTTACTTATGACGCCAGGGGTGAGATTCGAACCCGGGCCACATTGGTGGGAGGCCAGCGCTCACAACACTGCGCCATCCCTGCTCTCTAACGTAGATCCTTTCATGCACATGTATTGACGTAATTGTTCTATTTTACGTTTCCTTCAAAGACTGCTAAAATTTAAAATTTCGCATGAATCTTCCGTTGTTTGGCCGCAGCGCTGTCTTTGAAAATATAAGAGTTTCTGTGGAAATACTGCAGATATTTAGGGTCACTTAAATATGACAGCTCTATAAATAAAGGGGGCATATAGTACCTTACTGTTTCGTCGAAGTAGTTGATGAGTTGACGAGAACTGCTTAGCAAGGCGTTACGTTCTGTTAAGTATTAATAGTTATTTTTGATTAATTTTTGTTAATAAGCGAGTAACAATAACACAAGGGACTGCGCGATGAGACTCTTTCTTCTTGTCTCTTAAGTGGCTAATAATACAATAAGACTTTATTTTACGAGGGTAACATTGATTACTGATGACTCAGTAGTTTATAAAATGCCCCTCCCTTATGAGCTTCATGCTTATTTCTGGCTGGTAGTAATTCTATTATCATGATTGTCTTCTCAGCTTGTTCATCATCTTATACCGCGTGGAGGAAGTGCACATGCAAGGGGATACAGGGTAAGAATGTCTTGTTAATGTTTAAAATATCAAATTCATGGTTAATTGCCAGCCAAGAAAGTATTTTTATGATTTAAAAAATAAACCCGTAAGTGGTATCGAAAAACGACGGTGAAGTTTGAACTATCCTGAGGGGAAGGAGTACTGGAACGTATGCAATTGAAAATATTTCGCCGCTCATCAGTTTTCAATGATCTCTGTTTCGGTCTTGATTTTAATCATCTATTTCTTGTGATTTTCAGAGAAGAATTGCATTCACTGGTGCAGTCGTATTTGGATTTCTCTCTTCTTGGCCTAGCAGACGTGATTAATACAAAGGTACTAGACTAACAGC